CCTCCCCTCCCCTCTTCAGTAAGTGAAAGAGGAAGGATCTAATCCAGTTAAATAACACTTGAATAGCTATAGAGTGCAGCTTTTTATGTTTCAGCTGAAATTAAACCTACTGTTGCAGCAGTCAAAGGCAGAAGATCAGGAAGGGAAAGATAAATTATGAATGAAGTCAGAACACAGGCGTGAGGTGTTCTGTTGAGCAACTACCGTGTCCTTCCAGGCCTTTTCCTCATGAAATACCAAACTGCACTTGCAGTTTTTCAAAATTATATCATTAGAGTTCCTGAATGGTTGCATTATTTTCCACTGAACATAGAAGCCTGGTGGTTCTTTCACATGCTCGTAGGTGAAATACCATGTGAAACCAAACTGAGGGACACAAAATTACTGATACAAGAAACGTGTAAGAATGTTGGAATTTTTTTCCTATGTAAATACTATTTTTCATAATCTTTCATGACTTTCTGATTCTGACACAAGAAAGATAACAGTAAACTTATATGGAACAGAAATTGGTAGACGTAGTTGTGGGGAGAGCTGATTTGCATGCTACATGTAGTAATACTGTAGATTATGACACGACACATGCTTCCTTTTCAGTGTCTTAGCCTTCTAGGACACAGCTCCCCATGCTGGAGAAATGTTTTCCCCTAGAATTACAAAGATGATAAACACAGAGGTTTGTTTCTTTCACCATTCCAGTTTTACCTGATTTTCTTTTAAACCACACTCATATTGAGGTGAAAAAACTGTAAAGAAGTAGCACTGAGAACACATTCTACTGAAAAAACTCATACTAATTTTTGTTTTATAGTGTAAGAAAGACATGCATTTATTTTGTTAGCAACCTTAACATCTGTATTTTGAAGGGCAACCAATACCTATACTCTGAATTTTTTAACTAGAAAAAGTAGAGTTGTATTACATAGCATTGTAATACATGGAGATATTACTGATAATAAAAGTTACAGATTTTATGTAGTATAGAGTTGGGTTTATTTTTCTACTTTATAATTTCAAATTGAAGGTTTATTATTATATTCAGCTTACATCAAAAGCATTGTCCAAAGGTTTTAAAGGTTACTGATCACAGGTGAACCCTAATTTTTCAGGTTTCTAGCCCTTAGAAAGCTCTGCCTGTGGACATGTTCTGACTACTATAGCACTGAATGTTGTTCCGTTAGGAATTTTGTTCTGCTGACATCTCGTTCCTCACCATTTTTAGAAAAATGTCAACAGTTACAGATTTTGATGCCTGCACATCCATAAAAGCAAACATGTAACTCCACTGCGTTATTTTCTCAATCTCCCAATTTCATATATCCTCCTGGTTACAATTTGCCTTAGGCAATTTAGATAACAGACTGACCAGTTAGTCCTTTCCTTATTCTCTCGACCTATGGAAACATGTGTGTTAAATCTAAGCAAATCAGGTAATGTTAAACAAGAAAGGCTAAGGGAAGGTAAATTAGAAGTAGTCATCAGGTTTCAGTATAATGTGATGGTAAAATTTAGTATCTCGCTATTTCTCTGTTGAAAAAAGCAGATATTTATGTTACACTTTCTCTTTCCTAGCGCTAAGTTGTGTTCTCTTATTCTTCTCTAGGCTGCTGTAGTACCATCTGCACAATCTCTCAACCTAACTGACTTCAACTTCAGTGATTTTGAGCTATCAGATTTTGAAACAACGCTGTGTACAATTCGAATGTTCACAGACCTCAACCTGGTGCAAAATTTCCAAATGAAACATGAGGTATGAATGCTGTCAAATGCTGCTTCACATAGAGAGACAATTTAATTATTAGAAAATCAGGAGAATAGTTAAATGAGCCTACAATAATATAATTGAAAAACTGTATTAAAGAGTAGTTAGTGAACTAGGAAGTTATACAAAGGGGCAGTACTGGGGTTTGTCCTCAGTTTGGTACTACTGAATGATTAGTAATTTGCTTAACAGACTGTAAAATGCTTTTAGAAAACTTGCGAAGTGGAGGTAGAGGACTTGGTTAAAATTCAAATGAGTTTGAAAATGTATAGCAATATTTCAAAACCAGCAAGAATAAATATATAAAGACTAACGAAAACAGTCAAATGCATAAATTAAAAATGTTAAACAAAAGAACAGCTAGTGGTAACAGAGAAAAACATTTCACAGCTATTAGTATCAGAAATAGTGTAAAAGTCAATAATGTGCCATAGTAGCAAAAAAGGGGCAAATTTCATTCTTTACCAAAAGAGTGGTATTTAAGGCCCATGAAGTAATTATATTGTAGCCTATATCTGAAGAGACACACAAAAATACAAATTAATTTTAAAAAACAACCGTTTAGGAGATCGAGCAAAGCTTGAATGAATTAAGCTGGTTTTCTCCAGAAAACAGAATATTGACAGGGGAGACAATAGCAACTTTTCAGTAAGTGAAAGGCTGTTACAAAGAGGACAGTAGTATTGTTCTCCGTGTCCATATAAGGTAGTAAAAGTAATTAGCTTAGTCTTTCCCCAACAAAAGATTAGATCAGAGATTAGGGTGAGCTTTATAATGATGGAAATAGTAAAGACTAAAACAGTCTTTACAGTTACTTATGTGGGCTGTGGAAATTTCCTTGAAGGTTTTTACCAATAGATCTAGTTGTAGAAGTGCCTCTTGTCAGAGGTGATCTAGACAGGTATCCTTATTTCGCTCCTGGCCCTGGAGACTAGATAATCTCTTAGGCTTCTTCCACGCAATACGCACAATTTCTATTTGCAAAAATATTCATTTTTAAACACTTTATTTTTGCTTTATATATTTTTCAACAAAACTTCCAAAGTTCAGTACCAAAAAGCAAGATTAATTCAGCAAACTTAATAGGAAATCAAATTAGTAAAAGAAAATGGGTATTTATTTCCTAGATCACCAGTTTGCAGACCAGTTTAGATTGGTAGTTTTTAAGGGCTGAAAGGAGTACTGTATTCCCTGGTCTGATCTCTTGAATAACCCAGCACTTAGTTGCACCTTTGTAGGAAGGCCAAGAACTTTTGCTTCCTTAAGGGATGTGTCTCAACAGAAGAGAGGGAGTCAGATAGCCCAGTAATGGGTGGACTTCTAGTTCCTAGCGGAGCAATTGTAATCGATTTGCAAAACCAAAACAACACCATGACAGCAGACACATAATTACACATTTCAGTAGAAGCAAGAGAACACTGACAACTTTGAAGCTACACTTTTAGCTTTTCATACTAGAGCTAAAGAAAACTGGCAGTAGCCTAGCACTCCTTTTTTAACAGTGGAAAGACAGAGAATACTGCTGCTTTTATCTGCATGGAGTCATTTACGTGGGTGAATGATACTGTATTTTCATTTCTGTCAGTACAACATCTTTCACTAGGAACACTAAAACTTTTCTTGAACAAACCAAGGCCTAGATTCTTAGCCAGCATTTAACATTGAGCAGTATGCTGTGTCCATTTAAATCAAGGGACCTGTTCTAACACATATCAAATTACTATCTGACCTTCATGCCTTTCACTTTCTTAGAAGTAAAGTATAACTCAGAACTTGTAATAGTGCTGTGTAAAACATCCAGGACATACTTTCTTCCTGCATAAAAAAATACCACCCAGCAATATAGTAATCGCTGTCTTTCTGTCATACTTATTGGCTTTCCAAAGTGCAGTTCTCCTTGTCTTTTGACAAGCTGCTATGACGGAAAAGCCACATGTTCATTATCAAAACAGCTCTTAAGAGAACTCTGTAATTAAAAAAATAATTTTTCTCTATCCAATATGTCATTACAAACAAGGATTTTTTTCTCCCAGTTAGCTCAACGTAACTCAGTTTCTGAATTAACAGCAGTGCATCTGACACTAACATTTAGCCATTACTAAAAAAACCCCAAACCCACAAGTATTACATACTCAGTAAGAGGCTGAACCAGTGGCTGTAAGCATATTCTTATATATGTTCACAGTTACCAGTATGTTATATTTGAACTTAATTGAGTTAAAAGGAAATTTTTTTTCCTGTAAGAGAGACAGCTTTCAAGCAGGATTAGAGAAAGATTCGTTTTCATAAAAAGAATAGCTTTCTAATACATTCACAGTTAACTATGTGATGCTGTTTCTTAAAGGTTCTCTGCAGATGGATTTTAAGTGTAAAGAAAAATTACCGGAAAAACGTTGCTTATCACAATTGGAGACATGCCTTTAATACAGCGCAGTGCATGTTTGCTGCTTTAAAATCTGGTAAAATTCAGGTACGTTTTTCTGATTCTACATTAAGAATCTTCTGGCTAAACAAATTCTATAATGATGCATAGTTCTGATTGTCATGTCAGTAAGATGTTCATCATTCCGTGGTACTGCTAGTGAAATCAAAATATTTCTGCTGAAGACTTCTTTATCTAGAAAGCAGATGCAAATCTACAGAAGCTGTAACTGCTTAAAGAAAATTTGGATTTGGTTGTACAGAGGGTACAACCCCGCAGTGGCAGTGCTGTCACTAGCTGTTTGAGTTCCTGTCCTGACTGTTGTGCCTGCTATTCTTGTCCCATTACAAAGTGCTGCATGGATACTGTAGTTTTGTCCAGCCTCTGTTTCTCACCAGACAGATTTGAATGAATTTTCTATCCAATTGTATTGAACAATATTAAAGATACAAAACAATCACAAAAGAGAAACTGTAACCTCTCCACTAATCCTTGTTGGAGCCGCAGAATAAAGTCTTTAATAATGAATCAGATATTTGTAATTTTGTTTTCCATGAGTTTTAAACTTCTGTTAATTTATTTGCCCAGTGATCAATGAAAAGAATGACATTTTTCCCTTCTGATTATTCCAAGGATATTTGTAGAATGAATTTTTATACCTACTTAGGGAAGGCGGCCCAACTCCCTTGAGGTAATCGAGGAGCTGAGCTAAAAGTCATGGGGCCAGAATTTAAAAGAATTCCTCATGCTGTCTCTTCACTGGGAGATGACATGATGCAAGTCACTTCCTCTTCTTCTGTATCAGTTTTCTCATCAGTATATATAGCACTAGATGATGTCCCCTCTGAAAACTGCATTGAGGCCTATGGAGAATGATTGTTACTGTGCACCACAACTTCAGAGATAACACCTATTCTCAGCATACCATTTAATGTCCTTGTCCTCCTTGGGCCAGAACTGTATCTGCTATGTGGGTAAAGACAAGACAGCAGATATAAAACACATTGTGCAACATAAATACCCATTGCAATGCTAACTCTCTTCTTGTATTACTCTTTACATATAGAGCAAACTGACTGACTTAGAAACACTGGCTTTGCTGATAGCAACTCTAAGCCATGATTTGGATCACAGGGGAGTGAACAACTCTTACATACAAAGGTAAGTAAGCCTGAGAGAAGTTAAATAAAAACAAATGAATAGCAAAGTCACAGAGCTAAATTAAGTACAACCTAATTGATTTGATGATGTGAGGCTGTGCAAAGCAGCAGGTTTTTACAAAGCAGTAAGTGCAAGAACAGCCAGAAACATCCAAAGCGAAGATGCACAACCTTAGTTGTTAGAATTAACTGCAATGGTGGATGAAGTGAACTCTTCGTAGACTGTACAGGGGTGGCGTCTTAGTTCTCCTGTTCCAGATGTCTCCTCCCCCGTTTCCCATACAGCGACAGCAAAAGCTCCCAGCTTCCAGCATGTAGGAAACATACAGCTTTTCAGATTGGTCCCTGCCCAACCAGCTGCTCCCCACCTAGTCTGGGCCAGCACAGAGCTGAGATCTGCACCCATCTGATACAAAGGTGTCTCCCTACCATTTTGAACTCTGATTGTTTTACTCGTGATTTAGCCATGTTTTTCCAGGATTCTAAGTGGATTTGGATAAGATACATATTTAAAATCACATTAAAAATGTACGGCAGTTTTGCATTGATTTTGGGTTATCTGTACTCTTTAACTGTGATCAATTCTGGAATTACAGAAAAACCTTTGCAATGCAAAAAGTCAAAAGATGTCTTAAAACCCTGAAACAAAGTATTTTTACTAAACAAAATATTTCACTGTGAAGTTATCAAAATGAAGCATCTGAACTCTTCTAAAATTTTTTCCGTATTTTAATTTTTAATGAAAAATACTTGCATCTTTAGCCTTTATTAATAGTTTCAGATCTGCCCAAAATGTGTTTTTCAGTGAATTTATTATTCACTTCAAATAACCGTATATGATTCTTCAATTAAATAAGTAGCTTGACTTAAAACATGGTATAATGTGATGACTGTGATATGGCAATGTGTCCTGATCTGACCAGAGATGGGGAAAAGACACCCGGAAACGTATACCTGTATCTTTTTCTGGCAGAGTTGGAGAATGGTTTTGAAGCTACCTTTGGAAGAAGTGGTCTGCTGTTCTCGCTGTGTGTAAAGTAAGATACTAGGGGAGGAAAAGTTTGTTTAAGGCAGAGAATACTGAAAGGCAGAAAATAAGTAAGCTGAAGCAGAATTCCTGACTTTCAGATATATGTTCAGAATAACATAGACTCATATATAAAGCAAAAAAAAACCCCAAACCCCACAAAATTTAAACAGTGACCTTTTTCTCATTCCCTAATAGGGGATTCCAGCAGTAACTGTAGCCTTGCAATCATTGGAACTGGTTAGTTATTTTTTGCTGTATTTGTTTAAAAATAAATTTCCTGGAAGACATCTGGAGATGCGTCATCTCCTCTCAGAAATGTCCTGGGAAAGTGTCATAGACAGCAAAATCTAACATTCACACATGCTGTATAGCAGAGATGATTACAGCTTAATAATTCTTTTTCAATAGAAAGTTCCATGAACTTTGTTTTTAAATCCCTCATTTAAATCTAAATGAAAAGTTATTTTTTCCAGGAATGGATCCTTTTTGTTTCTTCCTTTGAAGCAGGGAGAGTGGATACTTAGCATATGATTCTTTTCTTAAGCAACAGGGTTTCAAAAATTAAAATGGTCTTGGTAGTAGAAATTACAGAAATGAACTGCTTAGAGGTCTTTTTGCAGATCTGCAGGGGTTTTATTTTTCTTCCAAACCCGTACATAAAGTAGGCAAGCATAGGGTATGAAAACGGCATAACCAAACCAGTGTGTTCAGAAAGCAATGGTGTCCTCTGGCCTGGTGTGGTGGTTTAACAGAAATGCTATGTACTACAGAAGTAGGACCTGAGTTTATTTCCAGCACTTGTGTCTTCCCAGACAGCCAGGGTCTGTAAGTACTGAGCAAGCTCTCGTTTGGTGCAGTACTTGGGAAGATAACCCAAAATATTTCTCACATATTTCTCTCTTCAGTCAGGATGAACTTTAGGAGACACAGTATGCATCCCACTTAACTCAGTGGGAATTTCACCCAGCATGTGTTGGCACCAATCTTACAATTTGTTTCTTTCCAGAAACATGCAAGCATGTTTGCTGTATACTCCTGTTGCCGTGGTCTCAGAGGAGGTGCTGGGCAGCCAGCCCATAACCCTCAGGGGCTTGCATCCTTTAATCTCCCTTTCCGCGTTTCTGTTTGTCTTTCCATCTTTCTCTCCACATTTTTGTGCTTCTTAAATCCCCAGAGTCTCCTCTTATGACTTTTATTTGAGTGTCTGCACTCACTGACATAGGGACCCAATCCTGCAACCACTAATTCATGTGAATGATCCTTAACCACACAAAAAGTCCCATAGAACTTTATCCTAAAAAGATATTCTCACATGATTAAACATGTGTAGGTCAGATTATAGAGTAATAAATTCAGGATCAGCAGCAAAACAGACTTCCAAAAGAATCCCCATTTAGTTGAAGAGATGACATAAGCAACGTGGGACCAGGGGCTGAAAATGAAGATACAGTAGCAAAAGCTAAGAACTGTATTATGCAACGAGGAACAGGGGGAAATTAGAAATCCTCAGAGAGAAGTTTTCTCTCTTTTGTCTAAAGCTACTCAAACTGTAAATTCTATTTTCTAGACTAAGATAGCTTGAAATTCTGCATCCGCACAGTTGGTTTCATTTCATCATTCAGTTTTTCGCTGCCTGTAGTACAACCAACATCTTGTTCCCCTTTTGGATTTTACCCCAAGCAAAGGGTAGGTAACAATATTGCAGTAGTTTGGTCACGAGGAGAGTGGTGATGAATGAAGTACCAATACAGTTACTAACACTGAAAAATTACTTGATCAACATTTTGGGGCC